TCCTTGTACCCAAACTGACTGGTACGCAGAAATCTTCCAACAGTCTCATGGACAACACCCCGAAGATGTCACCCACAGCATACAAGCCGACTGAAACTGATAGGCTATCACTCAGTGAACAGTCAGTGATTCACTGACTGTTCATCAGTGATACGGTCTACGGCTCAGCGGCTTGATAGCACCGGCTTGGTAAAGCAGAACACGCAATCCTGCTTCGAACACGGCGCCGTTTCCTTCCGGTTCTACATTTAATGAAATTTTCCGAGTCTCCGGCACTAAAATTCTCAAACAACAACTCATTTTTGAGTGGCTGTTGTTTTGCTCAGTCAGAGTATAAATACATGTATCGACGACCGTCTGTAGGGCAACCACACGGCCTGTAGGGGCGAAGAAAGCGAGCATCAATCGGTTCATTACGTAATGGTCTTATATTCCTAACACGCAGGGCTCGTCAACTTTTACCACACGGTACATCGACGCTCTCCCCAACGAAACGAGGTTGTTTATAAATAAGAGATCTCAGACATAAAATGCCTGATACTTGACTCCTCACAAAAGCTGTCGGCGCCAGGGCAACGTGGGCTTCCTGAATACGAGCGACACAGCGTCCCCCGTGCGACTACGCAAACTTGAGGCCTGCTCCGAGAACTTCTCCATATCTTTCTTGCTGTAGAATAGCTCCGGCACCTGGTCATCCGGAACCGTTGGGATGGTGCGAACTAGTACACTGCCGAAGAATGAGACGCGGCGCTTCTCGATAGCAGCCGAGTCGCCCTGGTCCTCCATTGAGGCGCTCTTGACACGGCGCACGTCGCTGCGCATAGCCAACTGATAGAAGGCAGAGACCCACTGTGCCTGATCAGCGCGGCTGAACACGCGGGCAAGCAGTTCGCGTCCGTCCATGAGGGTGAACTCGATTCCAAAGTCGTTCTTGGACGCAACCCGGCCACTAGCAAGCTCTTGTGTTTCCACAACGTTGCGGCGGTAGCTGGCGTCCTGCTTATTATGGAACACAAGCAGTTCTGTGTTGCTGAGCACGAGGAAGCGTGTGTTCCAGGACAACACGTTGCGGCTTTTGATGCGCGCATATCCCTCGCAGTAGATCCCGGACGGGACCGTCTGGTCCAGACTGAAGCGGCGGTTCTTGGCGGCAGAAGAAGGTGCAGTCATGGTGGACGCACTGATGCCGGTGTGTGTACGCCGACGCATGTTGGTGTTACTCGGGGACTGCCGGCGGGTCATATACGGAAGGTTTTGGTGCTGGAGGGGCACACCGACAATGAGGTGGGGCTGTTGGCTGTTGGCTGCTTTTGGTGAATGAAGTGGGCAGGTAACAGCAAGAATGACCAGCTGCTGATGTGCAGGTAGAAACCCTCTTCAGGCAACCGAAAAGGAATTTGACCAATAGCAGCTAGCCTTGAAGGAAGCGGAGGGACACCGAGTATTTCACCGCTTATAAAATCAAGTACATGTAAAAGTGGAGTATCGCATAGCGGCACGCAGACGGGTCATATTCAACCCTATTCGAGCAATCCGTGTGTCCACATCATTTCTGTGGATTACACTGATGGAAGTGTATGAGAGCTCACATGATCAAAGTCGGATTCACGGTTGAGAAAAGCTAACGG